ATGGCTCGATCTACGACCAGTAATAGCCATCCGAGTCTCCCATTTCCTTGCAGATACCCTTGGTCTACATGTGTTACTGAATGAAACACAGCATTCTGCAAGGTCTTTAGACTAAGCCCCAAGACACAACAGGACAAGCACGTCCCTCAACCTTATCAGTGAGTGACCCTCCACCACAGTAAATATTACTCCTCAAAGATCGACAAGACAACGAGTCCGTGGCTCAATGGTAAGGCGGTGAAATGCTTGAGCTCAGCGACTATGAAACCCCGGGTGTGGCTGGCCAACAGCAGCCAATAGGCCAGAACTGATCATCTCGGTCCCCATCGTCTTTCTCAGTTATCCTTTATCTGTGAATATGTACCTCATCTATGTGCTGATTGGAAGCAAGCGCATCCACAACCTAAACTATGCGAAGATTGGAGGTCCAGATATCTATTCCTGTTCATCATCCCTCGAAGAATAAAATTAGAAGCAAACGCAACATTTCACTAATTATGGGAACGAGGAAGTTTCCAAAACGGGCAATCTTGGCGCACTCTAGGAACCTTTGAAAGTTTGACCGTCGGGGCGACAACATCCAACGGTGGACGGAGTATCGGTGAGCTACACGTGAATATGCTTATGACACTGCAGACTTGCGATGCATCAGCCGCACGTAGCTTTCCCTTGCGAAACACGCTTCGATGTCCTTAGAACTGAAAGTGGGCTCGGGCAAAATGATTAGCATAATTAAACAGCCTGCATATGCATGCCACACACGACCTGGTCTCCAGGAGTCGTTCCAGGCTTTCATGAAGGTGGTTCGGATCTCACGTGCGTCAGAGTATCGCAAAGGGCCCGAGGACCATGCATAGACTTTCGGCGCGTCGTGATAAATTCAAGAGCGTCAGGTTTGGGATGCTGAGGAGTGCGATGAGTTACTTCGCCCTCTATTCCCTTCGCATGCACCAGTAGGCTGTTCGAGCCTGTAAACCTGCTGGTGACGGGACTAGTAACAACAGTTTGTCGAGCTAGACAGCCCGTCTGCGTGTGCCACACACGGTCCGTTCACATCCAAATGTGCCAGACCATGCCTCCAACTTCAGACATGTCGTTGTGTCGACCATATAAATGAAAGCAAAATGAATGATATGCTTGCTGCTGACAAGAATTATGATGGTTACGGAATGTTGCCTGCGGTTCAAAGGAAGTTCATATATGGCCTAGGGTTGTGAGCGGGAAGGAAATGAGAAGTGTGGCGGTGGAAGACGGATTGCAATTTAGACGAGCTGCATGGAGGCACATATAGCTTAAATGGCCCATACGATAACCGAAGTCTTAGCAACGTGGACGGCCGAAGGGTGTATCACAAGTGCATGTTGAGGTTAGGGGCACGACATTACGATATGAGTGGGATGGATTTGCAAGTGACAAATCGGGCCGGTGCATAATGCAAATTTGCTGCGGCAGTAAGGTATCCCAAGGTATCTACAAGGATCGAAACTTGAGCCAGACGCCTTATAGTTCACAAGAGAAACTTAGGGATGGTTTTAGCGAGGCTAAAAAGATAAAGAATTCCTAGGAGCGACAGGGACTTGGTCATAAGTCAAAAAATCCCTGACAGAGGCTTGTACGGACGGTTATAAATACTTAGGGCCTATTGTGAGCTTTGACAGTATACGTCCCGGGCCTGTGGAGGCGAAAATCGAGGACGGATTGATAAATCGCATCCCCAATGTCAACCATAGTTGTAGCAGACTACAAGACAGTCTTTAAGCACTACGACAGGTTCCTCAACACGAAACGGATAATGAACTTATCCGTCGTGTTTACTTTTAACTTACGTGGGGCTGGGACGTTAACTGTTTATGTAAGCCAGAAAACTAAAATTTGCAACGTTATTTTAAATTACCTCCAAAGAACTGTAAATGGTGGGTAGGTAGAAATGATCTCTGACACTGAAGCGCCTGAGATGTGCTTTACATCAACGTTATGCCGGAATGATTAAGTGAGTAGGATAGCTGACGGGCGTCTGCCTAAACGGCCCAATAGTACCTTTAACCCAATCACCACTTTAAAACATCTTCTTCACCCCCGACGTGACAATTACAGTGAGGTCTGTTTATTTCTTTCTCTGGCACATACCGTTAAATATCGTCGGTTCTATTCTGTAAATGCAATTGCTATTTGGAATAAACAACCTATGAGTGTGAAAACTCAGCAAAATTATCCTTTATTTAAGAGAACAATTACTCGATTTTTGCATTCAGAAAAGCTCCCACAAATTTTGGGTGCTGAATCCACTGATCGACTTTACCGTAGCGATGGCGTTTGTGGTCTCTGATCTCTATGGCCGGTCTCAGCAGGGACAATTACTTTAGCCAACAGCAAAAACTGTCCTTTGGCGCTTTTGTTCGGACGAGCCCCAACTTCATAAAAAGAACTGACGACTGATAATATGCGATACAGTGCTACCCCTCCCTTTCTTGACTGTTAGCATTTACTGGGCAGCAGTTTTTTTCTCCTGAACCCTCCAAACGATAAAAAACCACCATAAGCTTTATTTTATCTCCTTTTGACCGAAGTTTTTTCTTCCTTACTGGCCGGATTTGAGTTTAACGTTTCCCTGACAATGCCTGTAAACTGGCATTAAATACAATTATTATTATTGATATACGAAAGATAGCGCCCAATACATTATAAAATAAAAGTGTTCTACTCAGTTTTCGTATCCGATATGTAGACACTACCAGGTTGTTCCCTGTGAGAATGTACAGCTCAGTAATCACCGGCCTGATTGGCCATCTATAAGCCCACCCCACTGCGACCAGGCAGCCTGTGCTGGACTAGTTTACTTTTGTTATGCCCGAATATACTTGCCTTTGCTCTGCCAGAACATTCAGATGCCATGCAGACCTGCTTGACCACATGCCGAGACACGATAAAAATCAGGCAAATAGATCTTCCCAGATCTCCATATGCCTTATTATTTTACCGCACAGGCAAGTACATTTGGGCAATGAAATTAATTGTTTGACCACACATATACAAACACTAACTACCAGCATAAAATTATCAGTCCCCCATGTAACTGTCATGCGATGCGACCATTCCACTTCGTTAAGATCGGCAAAAACATCGTACACGAGCACCGGCGTACCTAAATTGAAAATTTTGGTAAGATTCGGTCATGGAATATTTGGAGGTCATTATATACATGACACGCCTGACCTAAGATTGCCATACCCAGTCAGCCATTATTGGATTTTGAGTTATAGACGAGTGACAAGCTTGGACTGATCACCAATGTTTAAGTTAGGGAAGAATAAATGAGACCGGCATTGGAGGCTTCCCTCACTCAGGGTATCAGCGCATTCCGTATACAATAGGAAAATATGTTATCCGATGAGATTTTGGGTGCATCTGAGAGTGTAAATGAGTTCTCGAAGAGTCCTGAAATAATGTGCAAAAATGTCTATGGTTTCCGACAGACAGATGTCATGTTTCTCAAGACGCCAACAAAGTCCGTTCGCAGGATGGTCTCAGCATCTGACATTATAGTGAGACAGCTTTCATTCGTGTCAGATTTTTGGAAGTTAATCGTAAAATACATTATGCAGTGCTCATGGACTTTGTGGAATATATTCTCACAAACCTGAGTTGGTAGCTAGGTACCACTCCTGGCAAGTTTCCACAAAAATAAGGCAACAAACGACTAGAGCACAAGCTACCAATTCCGGCAGCATAATGCCCAAGCACGTTTACAAGAAGTCCCATGCTCGGAAAAACGCCTTATCGTCGAGTCATAATCATGAAACATAACCGAGATGTAGAAAGGCTCTCTCGATATTTTGCTGGTTACCTGGCCCCACGTTGAGGGGAAACTATTGCGTTCGGTCCACCGCTTAGGAGTTATTCCATGCGTCAACTCAGGGCAGTACGTAATTTTTATTGATTCGCGATCGGTCTGGAAGAATGCGCTGGTCTGTGATCGGAGGACGCAAAGCCGACGATCCAGTAAAATCACGCCTTCTTCTGAGACCGCAAAGTAGTGTCTGACATGTCTTAACAGTAACAATCTCTTTGTCATTGTCTGTAAGCCTGCACTCTATATCGCTGCCCAAGCCTTTTCACGGCCTTACGAGATCTGATTCTTACTTCCAGTCGTACTAAAAATCAGTGGTTCAGAGGGAACATGAGCGAGCAAATTGTGCGTACTAAACCTTTTGGTTTCGATGACAGTTTATTTTGGTTTTATTTTGTGCAGTACTATAAATATGCCCAACCTGTAGTCTACCTCCACTAAAATTACACGGCGCTCAATTACGAGGTTTTGATATACCTATGTGTTATTTCTCGACGGGTGGGTTAGATGACACGAAGATAAATACGTCGAGTAACCAATTTATTCTACCTGCCTGCGTAACAGTATGTCGGACTTCGGCGCGGAATCAGTTAAACCAAACTTTATCCCTTAGCACTCGAAGAACAGATGGGGACAGTGATAGCTTTATCACCTGGGCTTGATATTAATTAAAAATAATTACCCGATCAGCAATTGCATTAGTCTATTCCCTATGGTCACGGATGGCACTCCCCTGAATCTTCACGCAACATGTACGCACTGACAACGGCTGTGGAACCCATAGAAGGGCACTAGGGTCGCAGTTCCCATGTCAACTAAAAACCGTGGTGTTACTTGGACAAGAGAATCATTCATCATACAAAGATGGAGTAGTGATTTTCTCGAGTACAAACCCCCTTTACCTTAAAATGAGAATCATTTACCTCAAATTTCGAATGACACTTTTGCTTTAGGCATAAGAGCGTTAAAGTGCAACGAGAAAGGAAACTTGAATTTTTATATAGTAAGCCTAAGACTTCGTAAATAATTCGCTAGTGTATCTTATTTACTAATTTGTTTAACTTTATCAAGGTGTGGGTCACAGTGTACTCTGTAGGTTAAATATCCAGTGTCATGACGACCGAGGAATTGAAAGCCGAGTTTTTCCTTGTCAATGTTACTGGCCAAATTGAAAAAGCGTTGGTTTGTTATGATAGATTTACTATTTTTTAAGTTTCCGGCCTTTGATAACATATGGTGCAAATATTGCTTTGCCTACGGGCGGGACTGGACTATCGTAGCCGTAAGAACGGCCGTTTGTCACAATTAAATGTAGGGTATTGATGAAGGTATAACGCAAACATCCTTAAAAAGCTCCAGCGACGAACACGACCTCATTTTAAACTTTCCTATCGAAGTAGCTTGGCGATCAACTAATCCTTCCGGATGTAATAAGAATAAATTAATTATTTTTTGGCAGGGCCACAGATAGCCGTACACGCATATGGCGTCGACCCGCTTGGAAAAGATGTTGTCCGAGGTTACGGGGCAGTCCATGTGCCAATGCAACCGGGAAGGTGCGTGTGAAATTTACTATATTTTTCCAAATCTTATGCCAATTTACAACGCATTTAATAAGTACGCTACATGCTCCCCTAGTAGCAATTGCTACTATGCTGAGACGATATCGAGCATATATCTATTTTTCGAGATAAATCGGTGAAAGCGAGACGTGAGCTTTGTACATGTTGCATTCACTTAACCCTATACCCGTAATGTGCTCTGTTACTTTAAAATAGCCATGTCACCTCATTTCTGGCCTACTTACGGTATGCGTAAGTTGAACGACCAAATTGACGCAACCATGGCAAAAGCGGTTTATTACGTCAAAGATAAATTAATTGGAAAACATTTGTTGAACTGAATAATTTAAAAGTAGCTTAATGAATTGGCGGCACTTGTGAGAATAAAGAACGATCCGTCGAATATCCCGGATAGTTTTCTATACGACAGGATTAATCCTATGAAAATTAAAGTTAACTTAACTGTCCAGTTAATCTTCTCGCTGTTCTTTTGAATTTGTTGAACGTGATCGTCTAATAATCTTTTGAGTTATTTCATAAATGCGGACTCTAGATCGAATAGCTTCGCAGCGTCATTACTGTTCCAAGCAACGAAAAAATCTACATATGTAGACAGTGGGATACCGAATTGCATACTTATCCAATATGACTTTATAAACCTTTAAAAATGTCAGATCTGAAGTTATTAATATATCCATTTGAACAGTTTGCATTTAAAACCTGGCTCGCTGTTACAACGTAACACATTTTGATAAACAAAATATGGGAAGGTCTGTTATAGCTCCTTTAGGCATAAACAAGGCTGGTTGCTAATCGCGAGCTAAGGTTTAAGGTATGCACTGTTGACCTGGCTTTGCACTTAAACACACCACCAGGATTCTCAACAATCGTAAAAAAGTAAAGTTGGATGACATTTTATGACCTACTTGTAGTCAAACCTGACCATACTACAACGCTTGATCAACAGGCCTTATATTTCAAATATTTTAATTTTGGTGTCAACCTATGTCAGGAAGTACACAAAATAGCTCGGGGTTCGTGCTCTGTCAGAGGTAGTCGCAAATATGAGCCTGACATTGACTTTCTCCCATTAGATTTTAGACGTTCGTCATATATTTTTTAAACCTTGTTTTAGGATTGAGAGGCTTTTTCACGTCAAGAGAGTAATCTAGCAGTTTTACGATCGCTAAATGCAATTTTATTAAGTTGGAATTTTAAAACTAATCTGTCATGTCAAGTCTGTAGGAGGTTAGCATTGTGTGGTAAACACTCAAAAGAAACTTCAACAACGACAATATACCCATCTAAGCGGCGATTGCTCTGCTTTAAATAGACACGCATTTGATATATCCTCAACAGCCTTGGCCGAGAGCACTGTTTGTGTCGAATTTCAATGCCAAAGTCTCTATAAATCACAGGTTCTGAAGTCCTCGCAGTCGATGATTCTGCCATCTAGTCGTCGAGTAAGGTGGCGCAGTTGAAGAACGTTATTCCTGAATGACCATAAAGCCATTCATTAGTGACAAAGTCTGGGAGAGGTACTCGAATATTGAAGACAAACGCATTACACTATGAATAGTTTTAGATTTAGGTTGTCCCAACATGAAAGACCCGCATCTCACACCTATATTACGTGACTGTCCTAATTAAGACAGTCTTTCATTAATGAAAGACTGACGTATTCCAGGTTTAAACTTGTTTGATTTCCTGCCGCGACCACATACGTTAACGAACTTAAGCAAAGTTCGTGAACTTCTGACTAATATGGCATTCTTTGCAGGGGATTTAAGTCGAGTTTACACTTGCTGACTACTAAACGGGGGGATACTCCATGTGCACTACCCTCTAGAATGGTTTCTATATTTTGACATTCGTGACATATTTACAGTTGTCTTGTCGATTAATTTAGTCTTGTTGACAGAAATACTACTTTATGTTAAAATAAAATACCCAAACCTCAGACTACTTCGTTTCGGCAACTTTTAGACATCACCGCAGGATTGCCATGTTCACTCCAGAATCCTCCTCTCAACTTATGGCATTAAATGCATGGTTCACTGGCAAACGACCGGAATTCGTCAGTCCCAAAGTAGTGACAGCTGGCGAGGGACGCGAAGGTAAGTACGCACCGGATTTCATACTACATATAATAGTGGCGTGAAATAGAAAAGGACTAATAACCTTTGCTGCTAACTGAACACTCATTCGATGTTATTCTTACAGCGCTTTTGCAAGCTGGTTATTAAATAAGATGAGGAGAAGCGTATTTAATGAAGTTAAACTGCCTTCGTTTGGCCACTTTCTAATAACAGAGTCTACCAATTTTTTCTTTCCTTCACAGGTTTAGTTTTTCATGGTTGAATACTCTTAAAATTGATACTCGGCATTGTCAGTTGGAAGATACGGAATGCAGATCGTTAAACATCGCTATTAACAAGTCCGAGTCTTCGACTGTCACAGTTTCGTCACCGTTTTTAGTCACTGACATGATACTGACTAGACAACATACTTCGCTGTCACTGAAAACACTGCGCATGCAAGCGCTCTCAGGTGACCAATTAGCCTGTTTAGGAAAGTGGTGGTACTGAAAATGGAACGAAGATATCTTTGCGCCTGTTAATTGACTGCGGCTCGGATAACTATTATTCGAGTATGTCACAACACGTAGTGGTCGCCTTTCGTAAGCACTTCGATCCCATCGAACTCAAAGATGTGATTAGATTCCGTCGAAAGAGACTCCACTTGAGGACTTGAATGATTCCACTTGACTGCTTATGCGTGTTCCGTCATCCATTTTCAAGTATCCTTCATGCTTCTTTGGCTTAGAAGCTTTGGTCATAACAGCACCGGGTTTGGTAAACGATAGCGAACGTTTGTTTTGATTGCTGATTGTGTACTACTAATTTAATGTAAAAAATTATATCTCGGTTGCAAATGTCCGACTTTATGAACCATGGAGTGCGCCTTTAAGAATTGCTTTTATATTCTACTATGGGTAATTTGACTTAAAAGTTCGAAACGTTTGCAAACGCCGAGATGCAAGGCTGAAATCCACACATTTCTCCTTCTGGATGCCTGAAATGACGAGGACGGCCGAGATTGCCGTTTGAACTGCAGACCTTACCGATCCAGTCTTAGGTTTCCTATAGGAGAATGTGGAGTCAGCGATCCCAAAACGTTTTATTTTAGCAGCGAAGTTTGTTTGAACACACCAGACAAGAACGTATCTTTTTTTACTCTGACAGTTACAAAAGTGAGGACCCGAGGATTCATAGACCTGTCCTTCAATGTTGTGCTGAAAAACCTTAGTCAACAAGGCTACAACACTGGACCGATGTCGTCAGCGCGGGATTATGACGAACCATTAATGCAAGGCTTTTCCAATCTTTGACCAATGGAAGACTTTTTTAGCATCTATTACTTTTGCGGCAGGAAACACAGCTGCGCCCATTTCCTTCAATTTTGCTTTTTTCCATAAATTTTTACCGGCTTTCCAAAACACTTTTTAGTCCTTGTGGGATTTTAAATGCCTACGAATACGTTGAATTGTTCTTTTCTATAAAAACGTCGCCTGATGTTTTACTTTCAGTATTTGAGTAACTAGGGTATGGGCAATTATTTTAGTTCACAAAGAAACACCAGCACAGGCATGTTTTGGCGAGCTAAATTTTACGTTGGAATTGCACAGTTTGCAATTTTGTATGGAGAAACTTCGGACTAAGTAAGGGAAGAGGTGTGACATGGGGGTATGAGGATCGATTCGCGTCGTATATACCAGAGCACGTTATCGCCTTGTCCATTAAACACTTTAAACACATTAATGCTCCTTGTGCAGCGTAACCAGTCGTCTTTAAACAAAGAATTCTTATTGAGAACACCACGGGATCCGAAGCTCATGAAATATTTACTGGAATCATTGAATGTGCCGCTGCATTTGGAATCCACATGAGATTGCAATGCTATGCAAAATGAGGCAGTAGCTCAAGAAGCTCCATGTATGGTGACACTTGCTTGCCGTTTAGCACTTTTATCGCCATATGTGAATTTTCCTTTAAGAAAAGTCGATAATTAGCTGATCTCATCCGTCACCGGTTGGCGAATTCTGCTTTCTAGAAAAGATTTAGTTTTTTATATATACTGCGCAGAAGCACTGGTGTGAATTATGTTTTTAAAGAGTTCCGTAAGGTGTATTATCTCGAAAACCCTGTCATTTTATATGTGGGTTAAAGTAAATCGACATTTAATAACCGATTAGTTTACGTGAAATATACAGATGCGAATTGCTCGTAAATGTTGAATTACTAGAATGTATCTGGGCCGTGTGTAAAAGCCCCTCTCTTCATCTTGAACCTGTGCTGGAGACTTATCACAAGCATAAGAAGGAATTACATGTGCTTGAAGCGTCTTGCACGTACTGTTGGCAGTTTGTTTAAATTTTGGGAAACATAGACGATGCAGGTGTATTGGGCCCTTAAAATGGGTTCCTTTCAAGAGTGTTGTGCAAAATGGATCTAACAGACATTTGCTTTTATAAAAATGACTATGAGACTAAACTTTTCTTGCAATATTTGTGAACGGACGAAAAACCTCCGTAAAAACTGGAAAGCGGTGAGAAAGTGAGTGTCATGTGGTGGAGACCGTTCTCTAATTGGAAGACTACATGGTGTGAGTGCATCTTAGCTTAATAACCATGCGCACTATTATATATACCCACCTAGGCGTTTTTTGACAACACACATGAGGCTTTCAGTAGGTGTTGAGATCTTTTGCCTTTGACTGGCAATTATTGCCACGGGTGAATGAGATCCACCGATTACATCACAGGATGATCTGTAGGCGATTCCATCAGGCAGACGAGTGGCGGCAGCAGCATTGCCGAAGTTGCACAGTCTGCAAAAATGTGTTGCCAACTATGTCCATTGGACTGGGCTTGTGAATGAAATACCTTAGTTTCCAATACCATATCCCAATCAGTTGTCCACCATTTCCAGCTTGATAACATTTTTAGTGTACGTAAATTTAAATCAAACTACTCGGACACGGCAAAACGAAGTCCCCAGTTTCGTCAGTTAATATAAAAGTTTGAGTACAAGATACTTCTAAATAACATATCATCAGTGAATTCAAAAACTGTCTGATGACAAGAGTAGGCATTTATTCCAATATTCGGTACGTCTAATTGTGTGGTAACATATTGGTATTTTTTTCTAGCTGGAAAGGCTTTTGGTTTGGGCTTCAATGTACGTAAAATGAGAGGGTTTTCGCAAAAGTATTTTCCTCTCTGCATATAGTTTTATCATCTAAACGCTGTAACATGAAACAAACAAAGACCTGATAAGCAGGCGACTCGAGATGTAATTATTCCACCATCGAAAGATGATGCTAGCCGTAGAATTTGCAGAGTGTACTTTTGCCTGGCCACTAACTTTAAGCCCGCAGGGCGAATAGTCTCCAATAATTTTTCGGCGCACCTTAAGACGCAAAGGGTACTTTCGTAAAACTTAGCATCAACGACACCATCCTATTTTAATTCCTATGCTAAAGAAGCCTGACATTTAGAAGAACGTCTGTTCAATCATGATGAAAGTAAAATCCTAAAAATAATTATGTGATTTATGTACATAGTTGCATTCATTTTAACTCTCTGGTAAACTGTAAGAGAAGGCAGAAGTTACGTTTTAAAGCTTGCCGGCACAAAGAAATGTCCTTTCAAATATTAATAAATAATAGGGTCTTCTTCCTTCAAAAATAAACACAATCCGTGATTTAGGGAGGAAAATATTCCAGGTGCCTAGCTTTTTCGGCGTAAAATTTGTGTAGATGGCCGAGGGATGGGAAGAACACTTATGAACATACCACTGCATACTAAAGAGCTTGTGATTATTTTCCTGCCGATTAACTTCGAAACCTTGCGTGAGTAATTGATATTCCGAAATATGATTTGAAAGTTTAGCCCCACGTTTCATAAATTTAGGCGGTTTCACTACGTGCAGTATGGGCCGGGCCCATGAACCGCCTAAGGATGGGACATGCCATTAGACCAATGCATGTAGTGTGATAAGTTTTCATTTCACAGATAAGTGTGTTAGTTAGAAATCACTACGTATCTCTATTTATTTCTTTAGTTTATCCCCAAATATTGTAGGAAATTAGTTATTCTGCGTAATTCCCGGCAATCGTTCCGAAGACAGAGGCATCTCACTTAAAGGTTTCATTTGAAAAAAAGAGGCGAGATGCCATGAATTCCGAAACATCATATGTGCCTCTTTGGGTACCTCTATTTTACAAATTGAAATTACAAAAACGTTTTGTTTCACTCGCACCTATAACGGGACATTCTGTTAATCGAAGGATGTCCGACTATACTGTGAAAAGCTGCGGATACTTGCCTTCCCATACCGCAGGTAACTCTTTACACCTTTCTATGTATGCTGCATATGCAAACATGCAAAAAGCGTCACAGCTGTTTTCGTCTTATGCGCAAGTATGAAAATATTTAAATACTCCACCTAAGTTTTGGAGCCATTCTATGAATTCTCTTCTAGTTGCCGAGGCGTCAAGCCCTAAGTTAACCGGCTTAATGGGACTTATTTTTTTAAAATCTGCACGCGGCTGAGCTAGCGGAAAAAAAGTTATAACTCCTTACGGTTGCCCCAGGTTGTAAACTCCTGCTTACATAAATCTTTGTACCGCTTCGCGCTTGAGCACACCCCGTGCGTTTCTCCGGCGTTCAGGCTGGTTTCACCTTGAGGAGGACAATCGCACTGCAGAATGCTGCAACGACCGGATGGGCGTAGTAGTAGTTCCCTGATTTGCGAATGAGCGAAATGGCCGCTAATCAAGGAAAGGGAGAGAGAGAGAGGGAGAGGGAGTTGACATTCTTGCCGGGGCGACTATCCGTGGACAGGAATCAGAACGGAGCCTTGCACGCAAAAGCTTCAGAAAACAAGGTCAAGACTTTAAGGCTACTTTTCTGATGGGGAGGAATGGCAACGATTTAAGTTTAAAGTCCAACCTCATGTTACGTCTCAAAGACTTGTCTCTTAATTTACTTTAAGTGGAATGTGATAAAACGACCGGGTTAACTTTGACAGATTGTATGTACTTCCTCGTAGCTTAGACAGGTAAGTAACACGTAAGCATATAACAGCGGAAATGTCTTATTCTCTGAGCTTCAGTATTTTCAGTTTTAAGAGAAAAAAATCACCCATAGATTGACTCTGCAAGCTTTTCGCGGCACTGCTGATGATGATTTCCGGCCGTTTGCGTAGTCAGCACTGCCCGGAAGTGTACAGTTAAGCCTTTACCTTTTGCATAATGTGGCGATATTGATGAGCCAGGCAACTTTGCTGATTTCGGTTTGTCGTCTTTTCATTTACTGGTTGGGAAGTGATGTCATGCGTGCTCTGACGATGTAGTTGCGGCAGTCATGATCGCAGTAAAATTTCATGAGAAATCGGCAAAGAAGATGGTAATAGTTGTGATGGTAGTCCGCCTGGCATACAAAAAGCAGTGATTTCTGCCTCTTAGTCCTGACGGACATTCTTTGCTGTTTGGTAGCTTGCAGGAAGGAGCTATGACCGCTTTCCTGTAGTTATATCTGGGGGAATGCTCTTCCAATGGGACACGCGTTAAGTGGCCAGGACCCAAAACGGGGCCAGATTAAGGCACGACACGCGATAACCGAACTGTTCAGAGTCCGCGCATACCATAACAAATGGCACACTTAGGGGGAGGGGTGGCACGCCTAGGCGCAGTACTCACTTCGCGCCAGCCACGTGCGCTCAGTCATCCTCACATCAAATGACTATCCGGCCCGGATTGCAGACTGGGGCATGGGAGAGGGAAGAGAAAGTGAGATCGACTCTGACAAACCCATCCACACGACACCCTAGCACATTCCTTACTACGAAAAATCTGACGCGTTTAAAACTATCCTGGTACGCTACAGGTCTTGACTTAGAAGGAGGGCTACCTTCAGGCTCATCAGGACGAAGAGTCAGACAGCATGGCTCTTTTTGAATGTGGCTTCTATGATACCCCCATTCCAATGTGGTTCGAGTCGCCCCCTTCGTCCTGTGAAAACCTGATATACATGTATGTATGCATGAGTAAGTTTTTCGTGGCACTCGTAGATGGGTTGTTTCATTTTGTTAGTCGATGCATCGAATCCCCCCTCCGACCGTCCTGAATTGATATTGCCAATGACTCATGTATTTGGGAAGGGAGGGGATGCGGCAGATGTTGCGCAAATCTGTCATCACAATTAATTCGTGCACAAATCACATCCTGCGTTCGCTATACTGCGGCGCACACGGCAAAAATCTTCGTTCACAAACGTCGAACTGTTGAAATGTATGAGGACGGAAAGTGACCTAAAGCAAATACTGC